ATTCACTTTTACTAGTCCTTTAACTATAATCATTTTTAAGACAGAAAAATTTTAATACAGAAAAAATGGATTTTATTGAAAATCTGATTACACAGATCATAGAATCATACAAATGCTAGCACTTTTGAATTGTTAAAAAAAATCTCAAGATTATTAAAATTTGCATAATTTTTACATTTTGTATTTAGTTCTTTAGACCATTAGAAGGTTGCTTATTGAATGAGGCAAATATGATACTTAGTTTTTTTCCACATGAAATTGAAATTATCCCAGTGTACATTGCATTTTCCATCTCCATTGATTTGAAATGTAAATTTTCTAACAAACTAGATTCTCTTATATGTTTTTTTCATCCTATGATGTTCTGTTGAAATCATCACTTAATTTAAACTAGTCAATATTTGAATAATGATGGTCTTGTAATAAGTTTCATTTTTGTATTTTGGATACTATAAAGAATAAAGACATATGCTTTGAATTTATTTATTATGATATTAACTTTTTTTTCATTCCAGTATTTCTGTTACATCTGAAGTAAATTTTCTCATTTTTAAAAATGTTTTCATACATATTTATTTTTTCTTAAATTTTTTTTTTGCTTTTTTATTTGTTCTAATTAGTTATAACTGAAAGTAGTACATTTTGACACATTGTACACAAATGGAGCATAACTTCTCATTCCTCTGGTTGTACAAAGTGTTTTTTAAAATTTTTTATACTACAGTCTTTCTTTAGGTACTTGCATAATTTTCATTGTCCTTTAAATTTGTAAGTGAAAGATTGGACTGACTATTGGCTTCAAGCATGTGTTTCTGGGCTTTTATGTTTGGTTGGTTTTTAGCATTTCTTGGAGTATACCTATATCAAAGTTTCGTATCACCTAAATACAACATTTTATTGGGGTTCTTTGAAATAAGAGATAGTATATTGAGGAAAACAATTTGCAGTGGTCTATTCCCGAATTAATTGCATTTATTTATTTACTTTAATCACCTACTTGTGTGCCCACTGTGAGAATCTAGCCTAGTTCTGTAGATTTTTCTTTACTTCTCTCTAGAACCATCACTTCCATGCTTGCCCAACCTTTCCATTTTAGACAAATCTCCCACATGGTTAGAGATCTTATGTGTGGCAACAACTAAAAGGCACATCTTCAGCCCTGCATTCTGGATTCTTTGGATGCAAAGCAATAGGACTCATTCATCTCAAACACTTCATTTCTTCAATTTTTTACTTTGACTACCATCTACTTATTCTTGATACTGGGAGTTGTAGGTCAGAAGCTGGATTCTGGAGTTCCCAACAAATCAGGTTCCACTGCCCCATCCAAAAACTAAGCAGAAGAAGTAATGGTGAAAATCAGGAAGGGACCTTTAATAAGTGTTGTGACACCAGGAAGACCAGAGGATCTGCATCCCTATCCCTGACTTTGAGGGGCTGACAATGAGGTTTTACAGAAAGGGGGATGTAAGCAAGGGTTGAGCTTTACATGGCTGGGGAGGTTTGCACAGCT